TTGCGTGTGTTATATGATATGTTTACCGGGAAAGGCTTGATGCCAGGCGAGGCCTGAGGAGGATATCGTATGTCAATTATCAGTATGTGTCTTATGATTACCGGGCGATCCCCGATGCCGGGCGAGGCTCGATGACTGTATGGAATGCTATAGTCTTTGTGATTATTTCATGTGCTAGTAGGTTGTATGTTTATATGATTATATGGTTATATGATTATGTGTGTATCGGGCATGGCCCAATGTTAGGCAGGGCCTGGTGAATGACAGATTTGTAATCTGAGCGGGGCCCGAGGTCGAGTGGGACTCGAGATCGGGCGAGGCCCGATGGAGGGCGGGGGCATCATGTGTGATTTATGTATGTGTGGTTTGTGGTATCTTGGGGAATTCACTAAACTTTGTGCTTACGATTTTTAGTTTATGTTTCAGGTACTTCAGTTTTCAAAAAGGAAGGGCTCGGGTTGACTGCATGGCACACACACTTTATGCTCCTAATTTGACTTTGTTTTGGGATTTATACTCAGATTGTAATGTATCAGTTTTGAAACAAGTAATTGATGATACTTCTTCTATAATTAAAATGAAATTTTATGTCAATATTTTTGGGATGTTACACTTACAATGGTTTAGATAATGTTCTAAGGGCTGAGATTAGCTAGCTTCTTGCTTCCTTACTTCAAATGCACACTTTTTTCCTTCCGTGGTGCATAATCCAAGTGAGAATGAGCTAAAAATCTAAAAGGGAGGCTGGGGTTTTCAGTGGATCTCTAAGGATGATCGAGGCTGAGGGTTGAGGAATCCCTAGCCATCACATCCTTTAAATAGGGCTAAAGGCCCGAAACTTAGTGTTTTGGGCTGAGACAGTTGACACGATATGGGCAGACACTAACTGTGTCGTGGGCACCAAACAGTTGCAACCCTCATATAATCGATGTGGTCGCACCATGGACAACCAACGACCACGTCCCACCGAGATCCCATGAACCGGAATTCGAATGATACAATTTTGGTTCAAGATAATGAAATTTTCGATTCGGAAACTGTGTTTATATACAAAACTATACTTGCTCCCTAAAAGGAAGTATGTGTGTGTATGTGTGTATATAAATACATATATATATATATATATATATATATATATATATATATATATATATATATATGTCATCCACCAATGAAAGTACTTCTCTGTAATATGTACATCATCTTTAAAACATGTGTATCTCCATCTTTAACAATGTCACTGTTAACCTTGTACCCATTAGGTTGAAACATATAGATTTCTTCATATAAATCGCCGTGTAAAAATGTTGTTTTGACATCTAATTGCACCAACTCAAGGTCAAATTGTGCAAATAAAGCTAACATAACACAAATAGAATATTGCTTCACAACCGGTGAAAAAACCTCATTGTAGTCAACACCTTCTTTTTTAGCATAACCCTTCGCAACGAGCCTTGATTTGTATATTATTTTATTTTCATTTGGGAATTCTTTCTTTGCAAATACCTATAGCTTGCTTTCCTTCCGGTAGACTAACCAGGTTCCATGTTTTGTTCTTTATAAGTGAATCCATTTCTTCATTCATAGCATGTTTCCATTCTTTATTTTCAGGACTTTCACTTGCTTTACGAAAATTTGAAGGGATTTCTGAATTAACAACAAGAAATGCAAACGCAACACAATCTGTGTACCTAGCAGGTTTCCGGATACTTCTTCTTTCTCTCCCTTTTGCAATTGAATATGAGGGTTCAACATTTTCTTCATCATCTCTTTCCAAACCTTCACTTTCTTTGCCAAAAACAACATTTTCATTATCATTTAGGTACTCTCCAACTCTGACTTGAGTTACTTGTTGTGGATTTGAATTTTCTTGATATGGAAAACTTATATTTTGCCTTTCAAACTCCACCTGCTGCACAACGCTAACATCATTTTCTACATCAACATAATGATTCTTCACTTTCAGTAAGTTCATCTCATTAAATGTCACATCTTTACTAAGAACCAATTTTTTTAATTCCGGACACCACAATCTGTATCCTTTCACACATGTACTGAAACAAACAAATATAGCCTTTTTGGCTCTAACATCAAGTTTAGATTCGATCACATGGAAATAAGCATCACATCCAAAAATACGTAAATTTTCATAATCTACAGCATGTTTCCCGATCCAAACTTCAATTGGTGTCTTTCCATATATTGTTGCAGATGGTAAACGATTGACCAAATGGCTTGCATAAAGGACTGCTTCCGCCCAAAAAGACTTGTCTAAATCAGCTTGTAATAGCATACACCTTGCTTTTTCAAGAAGAGATTTATTGAGTCATTCAGCAACCCCGTTTTGTTGTGGATTTCTTGGTACAGTAAAGTGTCTTATTATTCCTTCCTTTTTGCATACTTCATTGAAGGGATCAGAAGTATACTCACCACCCTTGTCGGTTCTTAAAACTTTAATTTTTCTTCCGGTTTGATTTTAATTCATATTCTTCCAAGTCAAAAAAATATCTAAGACTTCATCTTTATGTTTCATTGTATACACCCAAGACTTTCTATAAAAATCATCAGTGAAGCTTACAAAGTAATGTTTACCACCCTTGGAAGCTGTTTTTGTTGGACCCCATACATCTGAGTGAATATAGTCAATGATGCCCTTTGTTTGGTGTGTTGTTGTACCAAACTTCACTTTTTTTGCTTACCTAAAACACATTGCTCACAGAAGTCTACTTTACCAGATTTGACACCTTTTAACAACGCTTGCTTTGCTAATCCTTGTAGAGCACTTTCTCTAACATGAGCGAGCCTCAAATGACACGGCCTTGAAGTACTAGAATCAACATTTTTATCACAATTAATAGATTCTGAGACCGCTGTTGCAACACCCATAATAGTTTTTCCTTGCAATACATACACGTTATGCTCTCTTATCGCCTTCATCTCAACCAAAGCACCTTTGTTTTACCTTCATAATACCATTTGAAGAGGAATAGTTGTAACCTCCAGATTCCAATGCTCCTAAAGAAATTAGATTCTTTTTTAATTTAGGAACATAGCACACATTTGAAAATTCTCTAATCACTCCATCATGATGCGTGAACTTCACAGTACCGACCCCTTCTTTCTCTAGGTTGTAATCATCACCAACTAATACAACACCATGACACTTCAAATCAAAAGTAGAGAACCATTCCTTATTAGGGCACATGTGTTGAGAAGCTGTTGTATCCATCAACCACACATTAGTGAAGGAATTCGATGTGGCTGCCAATACAAATTCTTAACCAGATTCATCTTCACCTAAGTGACATTAACTTGAGTGTTTTTGTTCTTGTTTTTTAGCTTTGGAAAATCCTTCTTCCAATGCCCAATTTCATGACAAAAAGCACACTCGTTTCTCCCTAAGCTTTTTGCGGTTTAGAATTCCCTCTACTACGAGACTGGAATTTATTTCTATTGTCTTGACCTCTCCTTTCAAATGTTCTACCTCGAACATCTAAGGCATCTGATGTGGAACCATTCATTTGTTTATTTGCATGCCTGATCTCATAGTTCATCAAAGCATTTGAGACTTCTTCAAAACTAATAGTTAATTTACCATGTAACAAAGTGGGTAAATGAGCATATGAATCAGGCAGAGAATTTAACAAAATTAAAGCTTTGTCTTCATCTTTAATTTCTTCATCCAAGTTCAATAAATCAGCAATTAATTGATTAAAAGCATCAAGATGAGCAATCATCTTTGTACCTTCTTTATATTTGAAGTAAAACAACATCTTCTTTTTATAAAGACGGTTTTCAGCACTTTTGGTCATATATTTGTCTTCTAATTTCTGCCATAGTTCTTTTGCTGATGTTTCTCTCATTACATTGAACTTTTGTTGTTTAGCAAGACACAAACGGATTGTTGAGCAAGCCATCTTGTTTACTCTATTCCAATCAACATCAGACATATTTTCAGGCTTTCCTTCCAAAGCAACATCCAAATCTTGTTGAGCCAAAACATCTTTGACTTCACACTGCCACATCCCAAAGTTATTTGTCCCATCAAATTTTTCGACTTCAAACTTTGCATTATGAACGATTGTCTTTGTCACATGAGATCCTCTCCCACCAAAAGGGTTAAACTCAGCCCATGCATCGTCTGTCATGGGCTCTGATACTAGTTGTTAACAAATCAAGCTTTCTAACACTCTAAAATTAACCCACAACAGAGGAACACAACAATATCAAAAATCACAGCAAGTGAAACAATAAAAACAAAAAGACAATGATTTACGTGGTTCAACTTTTAATAAGCCTACATCCACAAAGCAACATGGACACCATTTATTATCAAACTGTGGAGGTTACAGAAGTTCACTAAAAAAATACACACTCAATTTTTTGCACACACATTTAGATATCTATCACACGTATCTTTAATCCTAATATGTAACTTCCTTGCAGTTACTTAATGCACCCAATTTATCAACATAAATTAATATTGTTAATAAATAGGCATCACTAGAAATTGAGCCATATTTATAATATAGCTTTTATTAGAAAATAATTGTTTTTTAGGTTTTTGCAAATGACATATGGAAAAACCTATTCTTTCCAACTTGAAGAAACACATAGATAGGTAGTAGAGATTTTTACAAATGTTATTTACAAAAATCTCACATATATGAAAATGTTTTGGATTCATCCTATTAAATACTAAATCAATTTTGATATGCCGCACATGATTTCCGTAGATGGTAATTTTTTTTTGCAATAACCAGCAACAAAATTCATGACTATTTTGTAAAATTGATAATTTTTATTAAAATTTGAAAAATAATATATAAATGATATTGGCCTCTATCTTTTTCTTTTTTTAAAAAACAAATTGTCTATGTAAACAATTCTTTATTAAATTTTGAAAAAAAAAGGATAAATAAGATTAATGATTTGTCTTCTTCTATGTAAATAATATTCCCTTTTCATTAGTTTACATGGATTTATTTAGTTTTAAAAAAATGAAGTTTCTATTCTTGTATATGAATACCACCTTTTGGAGGCGTTGCCAGCTGGGGATCTGTATGTCGCATGAAGATGGGATGGGAATGTCCAGTCAAATAAATACCTGCAACTCATCTTTTATTTCCTCACCATTAATCCTTTTCACTTTTCAGGGTTTTCTTCTCCTAATATCCCGATTCCTCTCAAGGTCAAGGGTTCTTTCAAAATCTGCAATTTGATGTGAGTATCCTTCTCTAATCTTTCAACTTTTCATCCCTAGTTCTTACTGTTATATTGTCTAAGTTCACTACCAAATGGAGCTCGATCCGACTCTAGCTAGCTTCCCATTTCAAAGGGCAAAATCGAGACATGTTTAGTTTGGTTTCTACTCACTATATATAAACTCCATATGATCTTGATTTTTTGTTCCTAAAACACTTGAAAAATAAAAAATAAACCATGATTGTTGGTATTTTGTGTTAGGGAGATGAAGGAGATGGAAATCACCACCGATGATGAAAAGACGACATCCTTAAAAGCGAGTATTCTCTCCAAATATGACGAAGTCTTTCACGCTCATACTTCAGGTTTCATTCTTCACTCATTACACTTATGGGTTAAATATTCTTTTAACAAATCGAAGATCTGATCATCTAATAAATGTTGTTAACAATAGTTTTTGATGAGATGATAGAAATGTGTCGATCTTTGCAACGGTTGGAAATGTTTATTGACGTTAATCTAATCCTTCTCGTTGTTCCAATAATTCTGCGTTGGCCTTTATATATAATATGGTAAATGTTGAACTCGTTATATAAAAAATAAAATAGCCTAATTAAGTTCTACATGTACATTTTTAAATCGGAAAGGTGTTTGAATCTTCCATTGACAATTTCTTTTTCTTGTTAATTAAACTTGGTTAGATATAAAAAAGGTGAATGAGAAGATAACGGTTAACTGTGAGAAGTTTCTTCAATACTATGAAGATAGCTGTTCGCAAATGGAAGCCTCAATTAAATCTCTGCAACAACAAGAACATGAAATAACAAAAAAAGAACTCAAGATTCAAAAGGCAAAATCAAAACAAGAACTCAAGAAGAGAGTGGTATATACACAATCAGAATCTTGTTAATTAATTTCTTGTGTTAATTTTACTTTATTGATCATGTATTAACGTTTTATTGATTACTCATGTAAATTAGCGAGAAAGATTGTCATCCTGCAAACAACTGTTGAACGAAAGCTGCACTTCTAAGAGACTATTGGAGGGTGTAACGGTAATTTATTCCAAAAACTCAGGACCATGTTTAATTTGTAAGAATTTTAGAAATGGAGTTAATATGATACATATCCATATTTTTCAGGATGAACTGGTGATCCTTCGAAAGAGAAGAGCTGAACTGGAATCCCAACTGAAAGCTGAAAACTATGAGAGTCTAGAAAGTGAGATTACACAACTTGAAACTGCATTACAGGCTATACAAGATGATGACTGTATAGACCTTCAAGAACAGATGAAGATTTTACAGACCAAATTGATACAGAAGAATGAACAAATTGAAGAAAAGAAACACCAGGAAAACTTTTTTCGTTCAGCTATAGAGGCAAAAAATGAGGAATTGCAAGAAGCTCGTTGGGAACTTATTGATGTACGTAAGTCGTAAGGAGTTATAAATTGTAACAATTAGATAACTAGATAAGATATTAATGATTAAATCCGGTGTTATTAAATTAGGGTTTGAAGACGTACCCAATCGGTGGTGTCATAGGAACGAAGAGAATGGGGTTGGTGGATTCAAACCCGTTCTTTGTTGGATGCACTTCCAGTGAAAAGAAGAAGGAGAGTGCAACGAAGTTCGCATCACTGTGCAAGCATCTGATTGAAGATCCAAATTGGCATCCGTTTACAAGGAAGAGCGATGGATCTGAGATTATCAATGAAGAAGATGGGAAGATGGTTATTTTGAAGTCGGAATGCAGTGATGAACAGTATCGTGCTGTTGTAACAGCGTTGGTAGAGAGGAATCGGTATCACAAGAATGGGAGGAATTTGATGGAAGAGGTATGGAATTACAGGGAGAATAGGGAAGCCACTTTGATAGAAGGCATTGATCACATTCTTAAAGAATGGAAGATTCAAAAGCAGCGGAAAAGGTAGGTAGTGAAGCTTAATCTGCATGTTCTTAATCCTTTACTTGGTTTTCTTAGATTTGGCTAAAATATTAATTAAAGCGACTGTCTTATGGATATGATTATATATTAGTAAATGTTATGGATGAATTGGAGACCTTTAGATTTGGCTGAAATATTGAATCATTTGTCTTTTTCTCAAAAAAAAAACCTCTTTTTGTCTCTTCTTTGTTGTCCTCTAGGAATAAAATGCATTGGAATTCTAAAACATGTGTTTACAATACATCCCCTTCTTTCTTTCAATTTCAATCCCTCTATCATTATGTTTACTCGTATAGCTTCAACCCAACAATTTCATTTCATAAAAGATAAAATAAAACACACAAAACAAAAATTTATGAAGTATACCAATGTATTGTTGATTTGGTCAATGGACCACAAATTGGAAGTGTAACATATAGCATAATCGTTCGTTGTCGAGTTCATATTACTTTTCTAATAAAATAAGCACTTTTATATTTTTATAATCTTAAAATTAAAAAAGGGTTATAAATAATAATACTTCATGATAAAAATAGTTGGGTTGAATCATGCCATTCCAATTCATCGTTTAACTTTGTCATTTATCCTAAATTTCATAAGAGTACGTAAATTAGTCAAATTCGTATTTTTTTTTTCCAACCTTTAAAAAGAGGACAAGAACCATTCCTATAGTTTGGAGAAATTACATTGGTGGTTACTGCTCCATAGAAATTACTCTTGCAATTTATTTGTGAGTTTTCCTTTCTAATCTTTGATTACTGTAAAAAGTAAAATTTAAGCCAAATCAAATATATGAAGATGTTGAATAGGAAGAGTAAACAGTATATTCTCGTAACCCATGCATCGTCAGTTTTTCTTCATCATTCTCAGGTGTAAGGGTTTTCAACTGGTAATCTTCTCCAATTCTTCAAGGATTCTTGCAATTTGTATTTGAGTTTTCCCTTTTTAATATTTAGTTGATTCGTAAAACGTATAACTTTATCCAAAACAAAAGAAATGGATAGGCTCCAAGATACTATTATGAAGACAAAAAAAGGCAATTTCAACTAAATGTTTATACAAAGACCAAAAAAGGCAAGAAAAGGATAAGCATTTTTCCTTTCCATAAAATAAGCCAAAAAGTTAGATTGAAATGGTGTTTAATTAAAGCTTTAATTAGCAGCGTCTTTTCCGTTGCTTTTGAATCTTCCATTCTTTAAGAAGGTAATCAATACCTTCTATCAAAGTGATTTCCCTATTCTCCCTGTAATTCCATACCTCTTCCATCAAATCCCTTCCATTCTTGTGATACCGATTCCTCTCTACCAACGCTGTTACAACAGCACGATACTGTTCATCACTGCATTCCGACTTCAAAATAACCATCTTCCCATCTTCTTCATTGATAATCTCCTATATATTTCACGCACACAGAATATATAAAAAAAAAAAAACATATGTCGATCGTTTATAATTAACCCTAATGAACTTATTAATTAGCTTCAATTATTAATTGAACATACCTTTTGATCCGATCCATCTGTGATAGTCGTAAAAGGATGCCACTCTGGATCCTCAACAAGATGTCTGCATAGTGATGAAAACTTGGCTGCATTCTCTTTCCTTTTTCCAATAAAGAAAGGCGTCGAATCTACCAATCCCATTCTCCTAATGCCTATGCCACCACCAAAAGAACACGCCTTTAAACCCTGTCAAGTTATCATAATCAAGTAATTATGGTATCTATTAACTCCATTAATTAGAATTCGATACTACATAACATACATCAATAAATTCCAAACGAGCTTCTTGCAATTCCTCGTTTTTTGTCTGAAGAGCTGAACGAAAAGAGTTTTCCTGTTCTTTCATGTCTCGAAGTTCTTCATCCTTCAGTATCAACTTTCTCTTTAAATTCATCATCTTTTCTTCAGGGTCTATACAGTCATCATCGTGTATGACTTGTAAAGCAGTTTCAAGTTGGATAATCTCGCTTTCTAGGTTTTCATAATCTTCAGTTTTCAGTTGGGATTCCAGTTCAGCTCTTCTTTCATGAAGCATGTCTAGTTCACCCTGAAGATAATTAATGATATATCATAGTAATTTTTATGGTCTTGTGTTTTTGACTTTTTGTAATTACCTTTAGATCTTCAGCGAGTTTCCTAGAAGTGCAGCTTTCGTTGATCAACTGTTTGCAGGAAGATAATCTTTCTCGCTGAAATTGTAAACATATATAACATGATTCAAGAAAACTGACAGAAACAAACACAAGAAACAAGCTTTATTAGTTTGTGGCGAATTAATCATATTCATATTCATATTCATACCACTCTCTTCTTGAGTTCTAGCTTTGTTTTTTCCTTTTGAAGCTTCCGTTGTTTTTTCTTTAGTTCATCTTCTCGCTGTTGCAGAGATCTGGTTAAGTCGTCCATGAGCGAACAGCTGTCTTCATAATATTGAAGAAACTTCTCACAGTCGACAGTTATCTTCTCATTCACCCTTTTTATATCTAACCAAGATTAACAAGATTAAAAAAAAAAAAAAAACACAACATTATTGATCTCAACAGTAGCATTGTTTAGAGATGGATAGATCCTCAAATAAAAAATGGTTAAACCATTAGTTTAGTGAATGATTTAAACCTGAAGTATGGGCATGAAAGACCTCATCATATCTGGAGAGAATACTGGCTTTTAGGGATGTGGTCATTTTAGCGGAGGTGCTCTCCATATGCTCCATCTCCCTAACACGAACAACCAAATGTCACCAGAAAATTCTCTTTCAAAAAAAAAATGTCACCAGAAAATTGCAAGAACCTTTTACAGTTGAAAAATCTGATACCTGAGAAAGATGAAGAAATAAATTAAAAGAGGAGTAATAATGAGCATATGACAGGACTATCCGTATTTGTCCATATTCATACGACCCAATGAAAGGTGGTGATTCTTATACGAGAATGGAAACTTCACTTTTTCCGTACATAAACCGATGGCAAATGAATCGATCTTAATTAGTGTAAGCGAATATATCATTTAAGTTTATTAAATATTAATGAAACGAAATGTCAAATCATAATCATGACTATTTCATTTACTATTATTTTTCAAATTTTAAACAAAATTAAAAGTTTATGAAAATAGCTATCAATTTGTATGGTTCAAAAATCAACAAAAACGACGAAAAAAGCCCTACAAAAAACACCAAACGATTGAAAAAGCTCAACAAAAATCACCAAATGACGTCTTTTTTTAGAAGAAAAATAATCACAGGTTTGACTTGCAAAAATACAGTTTTATCCGTGGAAAAAAGAAAAAAAACATTTCTTTGAATTTTTTGATAGAATCTTCAGGTACAATTCCCAATTCCAAAAGGAAAAAAACTTTATATTTTAATTTTAATCAAAGAAAACGAAGAACTTCAAAGAGCATTTTCATAGCAAACGAAGAACTTTAAATAGTGTAAAAATGAAAAAGAAATGAAAGAAAAAGAAATTAGCCTTATATGGGGGACCACTTATAATCAATTTCACAGTCGTAGTTAGTTATTTCTATGCCCATTTAGTGATTTTTCACTCTTGATTGTGAAATTCATGGTTATTTCTGGAAACCTATTAACTTTTGTTTAATTCTTCGAAAAATAGTAATTGAAATTAGCAGTATCTTTCTTTTCTTTATCTATAGACTATAATATATAGTTATTCACAAAAGTGGAAATATATGTCCACCCAATCAAGAAATCATATTCAAAAGCACATGGAAAAAAAATCAAAGAAAACGAATTAGTGCATGTTTTCTCTGGATTGCCAAACAAACAGTGTTTAATTACCCGATTACGAGTTTTTTTGCCATCTTTAGTCAAGACAGTACATTTCAAACTGATTTTTTTTTTGTAAATATTAGTAACATTAGATTGCTATAATATAGTGCATGCTATGCAAAGCCTTTTAGGAAACTTGTGGTGAATGTTCTTACTGAATGCACTAAGTTATTTGAACGACGCTTTCGGATTCAAGTGTTTAGTTGCATGATGGATAAAGGGATGGTCCAAAATATTTAATTCCGATCCAGTGTTTTAAAAACCGGTTTTTTAGTTGAACCGGTATGATGACCGGTTCCCGGTTCAACCGGTTTAACCGGTTCGACCGCCGGGTGAACCGGTTTTCTATATTTTTCATGTTTTTTTCTATTTTTTCTTACACATACATATATAAATCATGAATTTTGATGTTTACAAGTTCAAACATTAAAAATACACATCAAATTAAGTTGTAGATGAATCCAAATATATTAAAATAACACATAACCATAAGTTTTAATGTTTTACATTAATCCATATACGTGAAAAAGAAAATAAACTATAATACCGAAACAAAATATAGTTTTAGATGAATACAAAACACATACAAAAAAACTTTATAACATTTACCATATGTTTTTATTTAGAGAAAATTAAATAGATTTGAAAAAAATCACCAAAGTTTATTATGTAAATGTTATTTTTCATGTGTTTTTATTCGGTTCAACCGGTTTATTTTGACCGGTTCAACCGGGTTTTTCAAAAAACCGACCGGTTCAATCCAATTCAGAAATCAGTGTAAAACCGGTGAGAGTTGAACCGCTCTCTCCCCCGGCTCCCGGTCCAACCGGTTCGACCGGCCTGTTCAAACCGGTTTTTAAAACATTGTTCCGATCATATTGCCTCTTACTCTCGATCAAGTTTTAACTAAACAAAACATAATTGACTTTTAGTATATATCAAACATATTGACTTTCAACTTCAAAGTTCAAAAGGTGATACCAAATGTTATATTTCAAAGAAACATTCGATTTTGCTCTAATACCTGAGCATGACTGCAAAGAGAAAAGAATACATATTTGAAATTTATAACACAATATATTTTACAGGAAGTGAAAAGTTTGACTCAAAAAGTCATGCTGCTTTTTTTTTCCTTGTAATTTATGGTATCTAATTCCGTGTTTAAAGGCCTCAATTAACTCAGCAGTTACCTTCTAATGGATCCTTTTAATATATATATTCAATTTCCATAAGACAATTGCTTTAAATGAACATATTTGAGCCGAAGGACAAAATCAAACACATATAGTCATTACTACTACAAAATAGCGTTTTGTGCGCCACATACATGCAAAATATGCAAAAAGTTGGATTGAATGGTCAAGAACTTGCATATCGAACCTTTAGTATACATTTTCCATTACTTATTAATCTTCCATGCATTCTTTGAGAATGTAGTCTATGCATTCTTTCAAACTCGCTTTCCTTTGCTCTTTGAAATTCCATATCTCTTGCATACAATCAGATGAGTTGTACTGGTTTCTCTCGTTTAGTGCTGTCACAACAGCATGATATTGTTCCTTACTGCACTCCGCCTTCAACCTAACAATCTTCTCATCTTCTTCATCAATAATCTCCTATATATTTAACACGTGTGTTTATCATTTTGCTAAAACATATACGGATATACATATCTGTTCTATTTCATGCTTTACATGATGTAAATATGTAATAGCTAGTTGGCTGGAATCGATTAACGGATTTTATGTCCGATCCAACTGTGATGACAGTAAAAGGATGCCAGCCTTGATCCTCAACTAGATACTTGCATTCCAACCAGAAATCGATTGCATTCATCAGAGTATTATTCTTCCTGGCTCTTTTAGTAGAATTACACCCAACACAAAAAGGCATCAAATCTAGCTCGCCCATTGTCTTGATGTCTATGTCGTAGGTAGAACAAGGATACGTCTTCAATCCCTGTCAAGACAAGAGTCAAGAGACGTTCATAAAAACTAGGTTCCTTTTCAGCTAGCTTTATGTGAAAGTGAAACGATACTTACATCGATGAACTCTTTACGGGCGTCTTGCAACTCATCATTATTTCCCTGTATTGCCAAACCAACAACTTTTGCTTGATCTTTCAACTCTTGAAGTTGTTCTCCCTTCTCTATCAGCTCCCTCTGTAAATTCTTTAACTTTTCCTGAAGGTCAATTCGGCCATTGTCTTCTACAACCTGTAAAGCTATCTCAAGTTGCATAATCTCAGATTGTAGACTTTCAAAACTCTCGGCTTTGAGTTGGTCCTCCAGTTCAGTTCTTCTTTTATGAAGCATGTCTAGTTCTCTCTGCAGAAAACGATATATGACGACATTATTTGTAATAACTAATCTTCCGACATTCTTATAGTTAACATGGTGTCCAGTGTCTTTGTAATTACCTTTAGACCCTCTGCTACTTTCCTCGAAGAGCAACACTGGTTGACCAATTGTTTGCAGGACGACAATTGTTCTCGCTAAAATGGTAAACATGGGAGAATTCAAGAAAATGGTGATAAAGAAAATGAATCTTGAAGAAACTTCTCACAATCCTCAGATATATTCTCAATCACCATTTTCATATCTAGTCAAAATTTAAGATAAACAAAACAACATTTTTTAGATAGGCATTTTATGTGTGTAAGGTCTTGAACTCCTGATATATAGATATGCGACCAATATGGTCAATCTTTTATTTGGTAAGTGAAAATATATCTATAACTTTTGCACACATTGGACACATTTCCATCATCACAAAAAGTATTTCTTTTCAACGGCAGCCAGCCCACATCTCAGTGGTGTGTTTGTACATCGGATTCAAGCTCATAGGATCTTGATCAAAGATTAATTATATAATGCAAAATAAGTTGGTATTCTTTTGGTACTCAGATATTCCGTTTGTTACGGTATGCATGGTTTGATAAAGCATAGCTTCTCAAAAACAAAAACAAAAAAAAGGGTTAAACTATTAATTAAGTCTAATGAATGAATCAAACCTGAAGTATGAGCATGAAGAAACTCATCATATTTTGAGTGTATGCTTTTCAGGGATTTGATATTTTCATTGTAGGTGCTCTCCATCAAGTCCAGCCTGACATGCACAAGTATAAACAACAATTCCGGGTTATTTTTTGTTCTTATTCAAAAAGCTGAAAGTCAAAAATAAAGATCATTTGGAGTGAACTTTACCCCTTGAAATGGGAAAAGGAGTGAACTTTGGCCATGGAATAGTAAATAATAATAATAATAATAATAATAATAATAATAATAAGAAAGCAGCGCTTAATTAATATTAAAGATTAAAAATGGAAACTCACCAACATGCAAGTTGCAAGAACCCTTGAAGGGAAGAGCCGAAGAAAATTATCAGTTGAAAACCTGAGAATGAAGGAGAAAATCAGTGTTTTAAAAACCGGTTTTTTAGTTGAACCGGTATGATGACCGGTTCCCGGTTCAACCGGTTTAACCGGTTCGACCGCCGGGTGAACCGGTTTTCTATATTTTTCATGTTTTTTTCTATTTTCTTACACATACATACATATATAAATCATGAATTTGATGTTTACAAGTTCAAACATTAAAAATACACATCAAATTAAGCTGTAGATGAATCCAAATATATTAAAATAACATATAACCATAAGTTTTAATGTTTTACATTAATCCATATACGTGAAAAAGAAAATAAAGTATAATACCGAAACAAAATATAGTTTTAGATGAATACAAAACACATAAAAAAAACTTTATAACATTTACCATATGTTTTTATTTAGAGAAAATTAAATAGATTTGAAAACAATCACCAAAGTTTATTATGTAATTGTTATTTTTCATGTGTTTTTATTCGGTTTAACCGGTTTATTTTGACCGGTTCAACCGGGTTTTTCAAAAAACCGGCCGGTTCAATCCGGTTCAGAAATCAGTGTAAAACCGGTGATAGTTGAACCGCTCTCTCCCCCGGCTCCCGGTCCAACCGGTTCGACCGGCCGGTTCAAATCGGTTTTTAAAACATTGGAGAAAATTAGATGCCTTAGAGTATATGGCTTGAGTGACTTTTCGTATTCTCCAACTTCATAATAGCATTCGAGAGCGGATTGGATTTTGTTTCGTATGGATTAAATTCTATATTTAACACATTAACTATAAAAACAAGGGTTTTTGTCATAAAAGCCCCCAAATTTACATAAAAAAACCGGTTATGCCCAAAATCGATTTTTTTTGCCACAGATGCCTTACATTTGTCCCTCATGTTTCATTTTAATGTTTTTTACCGGTTCCCCTTTACCAACCGGTTACATCCACCCTTTTAACCCCCAAACATCATCGTCTTCCGTTAACATCGATCCAAAGTCTTTCCCTCCCCTGTCTTCTATTCTCTCCCCCGTCTTCTACCCTAAGTATCTGTAAAATGTCGACTTCGTCTGCCAAATCAAGCTTCCAAGGTGGTCCAACATCGAGAAAGAAAAGAATAGTTAGATGTGGATGTGGAGATGTGTGCAAGGTATCTGTTGCTCGAACACCTGAGAACTATGGAAAGAAGTTTTACGGGTGCCCTAATTACAAGGTAAACAATTTGCCCTAATTTGTAAATTTCTTGAGAAACTTTGAAAAAAGGTATGTAATTCATACAAATTATTGTTTTTCTAGGTGGAAGAAGAGGACTGTGGTTTTTTCAAATGGTACGATGAAGAAGATGGCCACATTATCGACCCAACTCACACAAAGCAGGGGCAGGGGCAGGAGCATGGACAGTTGAAGACTTTGGTAGAAATAATTGTAGGTCTCTTAGTTCTTATTTTGGTAATGGTGACAATAGTTGTTTTGAAGATGTAAATTATTTTGGATTGGCTTTTGGTAGAATGTTTGGATCGACTTGGCTTTTGGTAGAATGTTTGGATTGATTTTAGTTGCAAATGGAAGTACAATGCTGAAATTGGCTAGTAACTGTTGTTTTGGATGAAGATTTTAGATACAAATTATTTGTGAAATGCAAATGGTAAACTACAATGATGAAATGGTACAATTTTGTGAAATGGTAAAGTACAATGAAATGGTACAATGCTATGAAATGGTACAATGCTGTGAAATGGTAAAATATAAATTATCTGTGAAATGCAAATGGTAAACATAACAAACATATGGTTCATAATATAGATTAAATTGCTAAATGGTAAAGTACAATGCTGAAATTGGCTAACTGTAGTTACAAATGATACATAATATAGATGCCAATGGTATGGATCAAAAAAACATAATATTAAATAACAAACTTAACAAACATATTATAACCATAATAAGGGGATTCATTACATCATATTCATGTACCATTACAAAAGATTACAAAAGATCAACTAACATGTACCATCCATCCATTTGTACCAAATTGCCAAAAATATATCCCAAAAAGGCAACCCAAAAGGTACATGAGAACAACTGGATGAAAGGTGCACTTAGTGGGTGTATAAACTAAGATGTACAAAATATACCAAAAAGGGCTTGCTGTGCAAATGCCTAAGTATACCATCCCCACCTAAATCCCCCATATACATAACTAACTACTCCAGATTCACTGGATTTGAACATGTGGAACCACCCCCATCTTTATCAAAAACTGCCTTTTTAAGCTTTAGTTTAGTGATCCTCTCTGATGGCTTTCTTTTCCTTGTCTTAGGCACTATCAGATGACCTTCATCATCAACCACATTCCCTTCATCAGCAACCTCATTATTTAGAACATCACCAGCAGCCTCATTCCCATGATTAACACCTTTACCTTCAATCACATCACCATCATCTTGATTTTCAACACCTTCAACTTCAATCACATCACCATCATTTACAAAGTCAGCTTCACCTTCACCTTCAATCACACCACCATCATTTACAAAGTCAGCTTCACCTTCACCTTCAATCACACCACCATCATTTAGAACATCATTTACAAAGTCAGCTTCACCTTCATCAACATCAGGCTCATCCTCATTTAAGTCCTGATGCAAGAAATAACAAGGTTAATAAATTACCATATCATATAAATGGGAAAAAACATATATTTAAAATTAAAATTACAAGGTTAATAAATTACCATCTCAACTGGTGGAGTGTCATCAAGTTCAATTTCCAACCACCCCATGCTTTCAATTTCAGCCATGGAATATCCTGCTTCAAGTAAATTTGCTATTTCTTCAACACTTATCTTGATTTTATCTGGGAGAACATCTGATGCATGTCCTTCAGTGAATTCAGGTTCTTCACCACCTTCATTCACCAATGGAACATCAGATGCATCTGATTCATTTCCAGAACCACGAATTTGATCAATTGCATCTCCAACTTCATCAAGACTTTGTTTTAGATCTTGGGCAACCTTTACTGGAACATCAACTGCTTCTTCTTCTAGCATCATAACTTCTTCTTCTTCTAGCATCATAATGTCATCTTCCTCTTCTATCACCTCATTCACCAAAGGAACACCATTAACAGTAGGAACTTGAGCAACATTTTTTGGAATATCATTAACAACTGGAACTTGGTTATTGACCAAATGAACTTCATTAAAAACTGGCTCTGGCACCTTCACTGACACCTTCACTGACACCAACTCTGAAACTTGGGCCTCTTAAACCTAATTTCCTCATTTTTTTGCCAGTGTTAGAACTTGAAGCATGTAGATTGCCCTGTTGACTTGCTTGTTGACTAGGTTGAGTAGTTGCAGTTGATGTCATAGGTGGTTGACTGCCCTATTGACTTGCTTGTTGACTAGACTGAGTGGGTATAGAAACATGTGGATTGGATCCAGCTACATCACATTTCCTAGGCCTCCCAATCTTCTTTGGTGGCATAGGAATTGGTACCTTTTTTTCATTCTTGCAGCCTTTTTTATTATGCCCATACTCAAGACAATTAGCACATCTTACTATCCTTGGGGGTTTCACCCTTGAAGTGGAACTAAACTTACTCTCTTTCTCACTTGCATGCCTCCTTCTTTTGGTTCTGGGCCTACCAGGCATTTTCCTACAATGCATTCATCATTCATAAAGGAAAACATGTCCATTATGTATATCCTTATCTCTTCAAGCATTGTAATCAAAGGTTTTTTCCTATCTTCTACAATTATGGAGTTGAAACACTCTGAAATACCATTCTCCACTGCCTCACAAGCAAACCCTACACTCGTGTAAGCTCTGCACCATGTTTTGGGTTCTTTTGACATTAGATACTCATATGCACTAGGGCTTATGGTCTTTATTTTTTCCATGTTTCTCAAGAAGTCACCTTCAACAGAACTCATTGCACAAGCCCAAAACAACTTCTTCAACTCCAATCCAGAGAACGCTTTATTAAAATTTGCATAAATGTGTCTAGCACATTGCCTGTGCTCCACATGTGGCAAAATAACCTTAACAGATTCAAGCAAACCCTGTGAACAAACATATTATCTTAGTATTTATAACCATAATGAAATAATCAAATTGAAATATACTATGATTATTAGGGAACTTACTTTATGTTGATCAGAAATAACAACCAAATCTACACCAGTACCAAGGTCAAGATCATCCTTTAGAAGCTCCAGAAACCAGGTCCAATTATCCTTGTTTTCCACATCAACAACAGCCCAAGCTATTGGGAACACCTGGTTATTAGCATCTCTACCTATGGCTGTGAGTAATTCACCTTTTACCTGGCCCTTTAAGAAGCATCCATCCAACCCTATTACCTTCCTACACCCTAATTTCCAGCAAACACTTAAAGATTTGAAACATATGTAAAACCTTTTAAAATAATTCTTATCATCTGGATTGTTAGTAACACCAACTTTGCATGTAGACCCAGGGTTTGATCTCAACAACTCTTGGGCATAATCCCAAATTCTTGCATAGTGTTCATTTAATTTACCCTCAATCAGTTCTTTTGCCCACTGTTTTGCCCTTCTAACCTGTCCTATAGATACCACACATCTATACCTTTGTTTGATGTCACTGATCATCTCCCTAAGTTTAACTTTGGGCTTATTTGCTATCTCAGTAACATAGTGTCTTCCAATCCATTCTGGGGTAACAATAGACCCAAATTTAAACACTCTAGAACAAAGATGCTCAGAATTCATTGCCTTAACCTGGAAGGTTCTGTCATTATACATCCAAGCTGCATAAAGTAAAAAAGGGCATTTATTATCTTCATGTCTCTTACCACATCTTGCAACAATTCTTCTATTGTCACTCTTGTGAAAGTATATTTGGTACCCTTCATTTACTGCATAGTTTGTCACACAGAATTTCAGTTGTGCAGGTGATTCGAACACGTCCCCTAACTTAGGTTCCATCTTATCCCACCGAACATTTGGATCATGTATTCTGTATTTGTTAGTCACTTCTTCCTCTGCCTCCTCATCATTTTGCAAATCATTACCATGGTCCACTCGATCTTTCACCTCATCAGTCATACTTGCATTTCTAATGTTCGCATCACAAAGTAGAATGTTAAGAAAATGATCCTTACATTTATCAAGCCTTGATACAAACTCCTGTCGTGGTTCATGATCCATGTAAATCCCATGCAGCTCAAAATCCATCTCATTTAACCCGGAAAATGGCTCGTAAATTCTAGCAAATGGGTCGTCGTAACCATCGTCTAAAGAACCCATTTCTAACCCCTGCATAATCGCAACCATTATCATGAAAAGTAAGCAATTAATGGAGATGATTTCTCGTAAAAACCATGATCAGACCCTAATTTCTTACCTCTTGAAAAACCCTAGCTTCAGACAATGAGAATGCTTCAACAGATGGAGTGTTAACGGAGGAGAGGGGCTTAACAATGTTACCGGTTGCAAATGGGGATGTAACCGGTTGGTTAAGGGGAAACGGTAAAAAACATTAAAATGAAACATGAGGGGCAAATGTTAGGCATCTGTGGCAAAAAAAAATCGATTTTGAGCATAACCGGTTTTTTTATGTAAATTTGGGGGCTTTTATGACAAAAACCCTAAAAACAAAGGTTTTTTTTAATAATTTTTTTTGAAACGTCAAATCTCATCTAATTAAGTTTTATTTAAAAGAAATAAATTGGGTAAAAACGATCAAATGTTATCCAAAATGTAATAAAAGATGCCATCAAAATTTTTTATTAACTTGGTGCCTAATGTACATCAGATTGTAATAAAAGATGCCATCAAAATTTTTTATTAACTTGGTGCCTAATTTACATCAACTTACACTACTGGAAAATAGGCAATAGAATGCACCCATATCTAATACTGTTGTAAATAAAAACCGTATTATAATGGGATAAATAAATATAATACGCACAATTGCAACATCTAATACGGTTAATGAGATGTATTAGAAACAAGATGAAATAACTAAATAAAATACGCCCCCATTTTGATTAAGTACGTCTAATACCTAAATTGAATACGCTTCCTCCTCACATACTTACCTTCCTCCTCCCACACTTGTCTCCTCCCAACCAAACACCTTAACACCACCCTTTCTCCATCTTTACACCAAATCGGTCCTTCATCTCCATCTCCCCTGTCGCAACACCATCATCACCGGCCAGCCTCACCTTGCCTCGCACCTCCAATAATTTAACCAACCTGAAAATCCCACCACCGGACCATCATTATCATACAAATTAACCACAAGCGGTTTAAATTTAAAGGTAAAAGCTTTGATTTCTATTTTTGCAACAGAAAAACAAGGGCAGAAATACAAAGGAACTACAACTGTTCACGAAGGATAAGGAAGCGTTTTGGCTGTGATCGAGATGCAAAATCAAATGGTAGGATCTCTATTTTGAAAACTTATTGTTTAGTTTTAACCAGATGACCTTAGAATTTTAAAATTCAAACATCCTCTTGTTAAATACTACTTCAAACACCCTCTTGTTAAATACTACTTGACAGTCCTTAACAGTCCTTGAGTACTAAGTTCATACCAATCAATTTCAATATATCAACTTCTTACTCACAGAGACCACATTCCCTATTTCATCAAGCCTGTCAAAATATCAGATTAAGTTCCATAATACACACATATATAGTGCAAACATAATATGTATACCTGCTTAATAATCTTGAAATTTTGGCTAAAATCTTTCAAGAAATGATAAAATTGGTGGTTAATTGTTGTTTTTTTGTTTACTGTAAGCATTTGAGTTTGCAATCAACTGAAAGGATAAAGATTCCCTCTGTACCTCATAAACAATGGTTATTCTTTCATTTCTATCATATTCTTCTAATAATGGTATCAATTCCAATGTAATCAACTGTTTAATAGAATCTTTTTGATTTGTATTTAGTTAAATCTTTTATCAGGACCAAATTATCCTTGAAATTGAAGGACAATAACAGTGATAGTTGCAGTTGAAGCAATATAGAAGGAAGTATCAGGTATTTTTGTAATTATGTAGCATTTCTTGCCCCCATTGACATTACATCATCTGGACAATCTGAAAATCTGAACTTATACCAACAAGGGCAATATGCAGGTGCATATTATTTATTTTCTAAAATAATATAATTTTATTTGATTGGTTCATAGGCTAGTGACAGGTTTAATATCAACTCTCAACTTGAGCATCTTCAAGCTAAGTATGTGGGAACAGGGCATGCAGACATGAACAGATTGTGAGTGACATTTTTATCTATGTTATTTTTTAATATTAGTATTAGTGATTTACTGATTTTCACCTCAAATTGATTTTTTTCTCACTTATTGAGATAAAGTGTTTTAACTTTTAATATTTTGCAATAGCAGAAAATGAATCAATTGGAAGAGAACGCTACAATTTTATGCATATATTTATTCTTTATATAATCATTATAATCATACATCAACTATCCTTCTATAGAGTGGTTACTTTTTATATATTCTCTTTGTTCCTTTTTGATAAGCTAAATGCAAAAAAAAAAAAAAAAAAAAAAAAAAAAAAAAAGCTAAGTAAGATGCTATAAGAAACAAATCAATGAAAGTACTTTGCTATTGTGAATGTTATAGGAGTTCAAGTAATTCTTTTTTTATTTTTTATTTTGCAGAAAATGTTGTTGTCATGTGGTCTTCCACCAGAGAGAGAAGAGGAATAGCGCAATGAGGTTCTTCATGGGGAGATTTACTATGATTGCATTATGAAAAACTTGTGTAGTATCAACGTGATGCAAGGATAAAAAACTATGTTGAGTTTTTGATGTTTATGTCACATGTAATATGTTCTATATTATACAAAGTCATGTTTTAGTGATGAACATTAATCTTTGTGTATTTTATGGGGTGGTTATGTTGGTAAGTGTCACGTGGTAAGTGATGAACATTAATTTTTGTGTATTTTTTTGTAAATTTTGTTAATTGTATAATTTTATTAAAAAATAGCAAAAAAAATTGATGAAAAGACCAAAATAGACATCAAAACCCAAGTGTAAAAAACAAAAAAAAATGAAAATTTGAAGATGTATTAGTTTGACAATTTGGATGTTTTGTGTTTTTATGTTTGAAGTTGTATTATGTATTTCCAATATAAAAAACAAAAAAAATGAAAAAAAAAGGTTGAAAATTCTCCAAAAAATGTGTTGATTCAAGTTGAACAATTTTGTACATACATTATGTTTTTGTACATATACACAAACATCAAATTTAAAACCAAAAAAAAAAAAAATAATACTATGTATATTATTAAACAAGAAACAAAGCAAAAAAAAAAATTTGAATTTTTCTACATATATATATATATATATATATATATATATATATATATATATATATATATATATATATATATATATATATATATATATATGGAGGTGAATCCTATTTTTCTTTTATATGGATGTGTATATTGAAGGGGCCCATCAGTCTAGCCCATATGAGCACATTTTCAATTCGTCATCGGTCAAAATTTGCAAACTTAACAAAATTGACCCAAAAGTCAAATTTGCAATTACGTTCCCTTTTGCGTATACTTCTTTGCTTATCACGAGAACGACGAAGCCTTCGCCTTCAGCCGACGACGCCTCCGCCTCTGGCCAACGACGCCTCCGCCTCCGGTCTTCGGTCGACGACACAGACGAAGTCTCCTACTCCGGTCTTCCGCCTCCTCCTTCTTTCACGTTGTTTACAGGTACGATCGGCCTTCTTTGATTAATGTTCTGTTTATGACAATGTCTTCTTTGTACGACATATTAATGTTGTGTTTATGACTTTATGCAATGCTGCTAGTTGGATAGGAGTCGATAATGGTTATACTGTGTAAAAGTATATATGCTACTCAGTTGTTGGTTTATTAGACCATATAATCAGAAAAATTTCTAGTAATCGACAATTTCAACTGGTCTATGATATCATAATCATATTAATTTCTAGTAACCTACTTCTGCTTATGATTATTTGATTATTAAGGTGGATATCAATGAAGAACACCATGGATCTTATTTGTCCCTGATATCACAAAGGTAAAAGTAAGAACCTTCTCTTGTGGAATGATCACTCTTTTCAACATTATTTACTAATGGTTACTATTATATTGCAAGAAGTAGCCCATATGTGTTAGTTTACTTTTGGAGGAGCTCCATCAGGAACACTCACACGGTTTCTAAAACCAGCTTCTTCCATTGCAAGTTTGTCCATTTCACCCTCCACCTTTTATAAAAAAAATATATATAAATATATAATATTTTGATGAATCAAAATTAGAAACACCAAAAAATATTATGTATTTCAAGATGAAAAAGTGAAAACTTACTATGATGATATCACTTGCTCCTTATATATCATCAAGTCCATATAATATCTTTTCAGTATCACTTTCCTAAAAGGGTAAAAATGTCAATTTTGACTTTAGTCAACCGATTTTTACCATAAATAGTAAGTTTTGATATATCGATTTTCACCAGCCAGAATTTCTTTGAGATATCTCTGTATTTGCAACTAACAAGTTCTTTTTTTCTTCTATAAGTAAATGCAATAACAATCTGCATACACAATTGGAAAAAAGTTAACAAAGAGTACATGGAGAAGAAGGGTAGTTTTGTAAATTAGTAAATTCTTTCTACCTGTTTTTCATATCTTCTTTGCATGACATGATTTCTCCGTAATGTCTCTTCAGATATCATTCTTTCAGAAAAATATTCAAGTAACTGATTCACAAATACAAGATATAATCATATAATATCAACTGTCTTAATGTGAGTAAATGAGTAAATGACCATTTTACCCTTCTGTAAGTAAAAAAGAAAAGGGAATAGGAGAAAAGATTTCTACATCTTTGCACAAAGGTTCCAAATTCAATTCATCTTCTGTGAGTTCCTTAATTTTTTTTCACTTTAGGGAGTGCATTCATCCTTTTGTAACTTGATCTAACATCTGCAAAAGCCTGAAATTAAAGAATAAGAGAAATATTAGGTCAATATAACAGTTAAATGAAGAAAAAAAAGTAGTGAAAAATGAGAATATTTACTCGTGTGCTCCCTTTCCATCCACATGTGGCTCGAAAACAAGTCAACACAGCTGAATTACTAAAATGTTTTATAAAATTCCATGTCAGAATTTTAATAAATAAAGTCGATTTTTGTAAAGTAGGAATTGTTGTGTATTTGTATTGCTATCTTGTATACAAGAACATAGAGATACACTGTATTTATACAGGAAGATA